TCCCATATCTTAAGACACAATCTCTAAACTATCCATACATTTTCAAATTGTTGTTACTGATATTAACGGTTATATCAGCCTGACCAAAAACAGACATCTAAGGAGAATGACATTTACTTACATTCTCCAGGTGTCATGAAACAAGTTGCTGCTTTCTGTTGGATCGTCATTTCTAAAAGAGTAATCATCAATTATCACAGCTTTAAAGAATAATTGCTGAGTCATGCCTACTTCCTTAGGTTGCTGTGAGACATACACTGAAGTCTGGGCCTTTTCCTGAAAAGCAAACTTCTGAGTCTTTTCCTCCAGGGCTTTTCCAGCCAGCCCCCTGGTAAATTCAAAAATATGGAATGAGCACATTGCTAATGTTTCTAACATGCAATAGACACAAAATTGGAAAAAAAAAACAGAACAAAAAAGAATACAAATATATCAGAAGAAAAGGAGGTGCTGTACCTGAAGAAAAATGTCCAGGGAGTAATCATGCACAATATTAGGGCAAAACTGAAAGAGATATTAATGTCATTGATTACACTTAATAATATCAAAAGGTTAAAACAGACATTTATTGAAAAAAATCCAAAGAAAAAAGAAAAGTAGAATGAATGAACACTTCTGTGTGTGGGCAAGGCCTGGAGTGAGTAAAGACAAAGAGTTTAAAAAAGGGGGATGCTTAGTGCGAAGTGAGAAAAAGTGGAAAGAAGGATAAAGTCTAGAGTAGAAACAAAGGACCGGTGAGACATATTTCTGGTCTGTGGTATAATTTCCATAATTTAACTGGAGTGCTAGCAGTCTGAACATGGAAAATGAGATGAGATCTCAGGAGTGGGCTGCTGGGAGCGGACCAACAGCAGTTTCAGACAGTGCATCTATGTGGGCTCAGAGAGTCTGTCTTATTTCTTTGAAGCTGCAAACTGGGCAACGAGTTAAGTCCCCTGCAGAATGAAGTGGATTACTCGCATCCCTTCTGCTGTAATCCGTATGTGAGAAAAATCTTTTCAGAGTATTTCCTTTAAACGCAGATTTGTGGATGCATTTGCTCATACAGTAGATCATCTCTCTGTACCTGTGGTGATGCTGGAATTTCACACCAGGTTTACAGAATCCTCACCTCCACCCTCCAGCCACAAGTAAGACAGATCCATCTTTGCACCTACTTTCCAGGTAGGATCTGTCAAGACGTGATGGTGGTTCACAGCCGTTCTCAAGCCCTTTCTTCTCAGTTTTACCAAGAGCCTATGGTTAACATAGGAAGGTATGCAGGTATCAGATGTCGCCTCTACTGTGGCCTTCGGATTTTGTGTGCAGTTGTTAAGAGTGACCCATAAGCACCATAAGCCAGATATGAAACCCCGGCACAGTGGCAAAAGTGCAACCATAAATCAATTAACTTTCAAACCTTAAATACCTCAACCATTAAATGGAAATGGGCCCTAATAACTTAAAAACATGGGTTGAGGTATATTATAAGAGTAATGTGGGGGCAGTGGAAGTTCTTTATTGGAGTTTCTCCATTCTAATTAGGTGCAGATGTGGTCCTTTATTCTCCAGAGTGGACTAATGGAGCCCACTGCGCTATAGCTAACTGTCACACACATGCAAAAAAGCTAAAAACATCAAAGTACCTTTAATTATTGAGTCCCAACGGGATAGGAGGGACAGTTCTTTAAAATAAGCCAGCTCACCCAATTAGGCAGCATCAACAAACTGGCCCTGCAACTTTACAGCAGAGGCTGATGCATGACAGGTTTAGTTTTTCGAGGAAACTTTTTTAGGTTAAGGGATGAAGTGATAAACTAAGTCAGTTGAAACTTAAGGGCAGAGACGTGTTTACCAGCCAGACCCTTGAAAGGGCCTTGGCATAATTGGCAGAGAAATGTGGTGTTAGGAGTTATCATAGATATGGACCCAAATGCAGACTTCCCACAAAGAAATGTCCACTACACAACTTTTAATTGAAAAAATTGGCTGTTCGATCGGGAAGAGGCCAAATGCAAGGTCATGCATCTAATAAAAGACAGGAAGTGAAGTGCTCAGAAATGAGATTGGTGAGTAAAGCAGGGAGAAATAAAATCAAAATGCAAAAAAACCGAGATGCTAATCCAAAAGTCCATAAACCCAACATTAGGTCTAACAAAAGATACACAAAGCTAAAGGTCCACAAAAAGTTCAAGGAAAGAACCTTGAAAGTCTTTTCAAAAGTTCCAGAAGGGGGCAGAGTCATGTAGAAATATATAACCTCCCTTTACTCACCCTCCAGTAGTTGTACTGCTTAAAGTAGCAGTTTAGTTGTAGCGCCCATCAATACTATTGGTCATGGATTTAATTTTATTGAGGCCTGCGTGCCTTATATATTCAGAGGTCTTCAGAGAAATAAGGGAATTTTCATATTTGATACTCTGTCCTCTGACCACAGCTGTGGGAATAAGGTCCTCTATATGTTGCCCTTTGTTCCCATATTCTTTTGAAAGCTGATGATGTGGAGGAGCTGAGGAAAAACTAAAGACTTATAAAAATAACAACAGAAGTAGAAGGTGAACAGGAAGACAGATAAATGTTATCAACAGTTCCAATCATTAAACTCAATTCATTATGTAATCCTAAATAGATGTTTG